AATGGACACTCCCATATATAAAAATGGAGGACTGGGGGGGTGCCGTTCAATGGCAAAGTATGATTGTTAACCGATAAGGCCGAGTTCCATCTTTAGCACCAGCAAAGTGCCATTCCTGCACTGCCACCTCCCAGGGTTACCTTCACTTACTTTAAGAAGTATCTCTGACCAGACGATGTCTTGGCCATCTCCCAGCCTGCAGGCAGGGGTACATCATCAGGGATCTCAAAGGAAGACTGTCGGAGATGCTGTGCTGCAGGGGTGGCTGCAGGACCAGACACCACAGTAAGGGTGAGAGTCCCAGGAGAAACGGCTCCCAGCTGCAGGGATGCTGGAGAGGAGTGAGCCCGAACGTGCTGTGGAGTCAGAGCTCCTGCAGTGCCTGCATCAGTACTAGCCTATTAGGAAGAATAAAATGAAAATTTACACGACTGAGACAATAGCACCTACCCCCTATTTCCTAGGTAGAATCTCATGGCAAGCATATATTTAAATATCAAAAGCAAACTTTAATGTTCAATTTTGACACTAAGGAACACAGGTGTCCAAATGGACCACTTTTAAATTACGAAAATTTAATATGCACTATAAATGTTATTTTACTGAGTCCATCTGAATGAAAGTCTACCTCCCAGACACTGTGAAAACAGTAAATACTTGTCATTAAAACCCGTTTTCAAAAAAATTAGGGCAAGAGCTGTTATTTGGTGGCAGAGAACATGTTTGTTCTATACACACCAAAATAAATAAATCAGTTCATTTCACAGCAGTATGGTTGCTTTTCAAAGTCCTAGAACAAAACCCAGGGAATTACTATGCACTTTTCCCATACTTTGTTTTAAATAACTAATGCCCTCATCTGTCACTTTTTGACTGTAAATTAATAAATCAACCATATAAATTATAGACTCTTAATGAATTCAAAGGCTCAGAACTGTACCAATGCTAAAAACTACCTAATGAAGAGAACAAGGTAGCCCTCTTTGTGCCTACAATTATAACTTAAGGATCTATACACATTAACAGCAAGGGAAGGAAAAAGAAAAACCTGCAGAGACCCCAAACATTCGAATTTGGGTTTAACCAGATTAGTGTTAGACAAAGTATCAGAAGTGAACTTGTCTTCATTTCTGTAAATCAGTTTTTCCATGCCAGAAGCATGTAGGGGTATAGGAATTCTCAGGCAGGAACCTTAGACAACTATTTACAACTGAGACCCATACTATTCATAATCTAATCCTTTTATTATAATTAGGGTTTATCAAAAACGTTTAGTTTCCTAGATTCATGAGCATAAGGAAACTGAAAGGACCCAGCAGTCACTTAAAGCTCCACAGCAAAGACAGGGGCATTTCTGAGTTTCTGATCAGATTAAATTTAGGGCTAGGAAATCATTAGCACACAGAAAAGGTAAATTTCTTGATACACAGCTAGCTCTCTTAAAATGCTCATCAGAAGGCAAATCTACCCCACAAACGGCCGGGTGGAAGTCGGATATTACAAGTATACTTCTCCGTGGTCGTTCCTACAAAATGGAGCATTCAATCTGAGCGTTCCTTCAAAGTTTCCGCGGCCGTTCAAGATTGCACGCCAACATGCATTTAGCTCAGCGAGTCCAGAAACCCACTAGTGGGGGAGGGGATAATGAATAGTACCTAAGTCTACTGTTGTAACAAATTAAGTGTTTAGGCTAGAGGCTAAATAACCTTTCCTTCCTCCTTAACTCGGCTTTTTGTAGCGAGGTTAATCGAGCTTTTCGGAGCTCCAAAACCCTGTTCTGCTGCAGGCCTGCCTAGGAGGGGGGTTGGAGTGGGGGCGGCCACTCTCTTTCCACTCAAGTTACAGCCCGAGTGGGCTAACGATGGCAGTGTTTGGAAAACCAATTAAGTTTTGGGCAAAGTT